CTGCTGAAAATTGTTTTGCAAAGTCTGTTTCATAATTTAATGTGCAGTGAGGCCTGCCTTCTAAGTTGCTGTATGTCATGTACAGGTAAGTAGTGATAAGATACCTTTCTGCTAAAATTTCACCTCGGTTTAGTGGTGAAAATTGTCTGTAAAATTCTCATGTTACATTTGGTGCTAATGCAGATTCTGTGCTGAACAGTTCTGTGGTTTATCCCTGATCAGTGGATAAATCTCAAAATTGCCATTTCTAGCAGTTTGATCAACTATTTTACAGGCTTTGACAGTGATGGTGGAAAGTCAAGTTGATGGAATAGGACATTACCAAGCAGGATGGGAGGATGCTGGGCAGCAAGGTGTAGGGTTCCAGGCTTGCTGAATAGCTATATTTGGGCAAAACCGTGTTGGTGACAGAAAATTTTAATTAAAGTGGGAGGAAGAGAGCTGCTTCTTGGAGTCTCCTGTACCTACCATGGTGCTGCTGGTTGTTTCAGATCCTGAAGAACATGGAGTCTTCCAGAATTGTTCAGCCACACTTCCTGGAGTTCTTGCTGTCTCTTGGCTGGTCCGTTGATGTGGGGAAGCACCCTGGGTGGACTGGCCATGTCTCAACAAGCTGGTCAATCAATAGCTGCAGTGATGAAGAGGGACCTGAACAAGGTAAGACATAGTAAATGGTGTAATATTAAATTAAAATGTTTAGGCTCCTCTAGGAGACAATTAATTTAAAATATCTTGCTCCTAGATACCTATATGAGCACTTGCTTTATTTTTTTTGGCTAAATGCCGATGTTTACTAGAAAGGAATGTGTAAATATTAGATTAAGCGTTAAGTCAAAGTGAGCAAAACTAATGTTTGTATGTTATTGGGAGGAAGTAGCCTCAGCAAGAAATACCTCTGTGCTATATTTTTAGCAGACTTGATGAGTCTTTGTTATCCAAAAGCAGTATTCAGGTGAAATCGGATACAGATTGTGCTGCATATTGGCAACTAGACTTGAAATACTGTGCCATTTTTGGTGTTCTGTAAGTAGATTAAAATGAGATGTTGACTAATAAGTTAGCCTTGTAATCGTGCTTGGTAGGAAGTAATGAAAACAAGTTTCTCTTTGTAGGTCGTGCTGGTTGGAGCCCACACACAGCTCTTCTGTCCTGCTTAATTTACTCTGCTTTTTTCCACTAGAGCAACTCTTCCTCTGGGCTTGTTGTTTACCACCCTCTCCCCATTCTGTCAACCAAAATGATCCTCAGGGTAGTGAATTGCTATCCCAGGGTGGTGAACTGGAGGTTGGGTTAGTTTCTGCCTTGAACAACTTGCTTTGATTACCTGGGATTCTCGTAGAATCTGCGTTGGTTTCAGTGTGGTTCATGGTCACTACTCCAAGGGCCAGGTCTTTTCATGGTGATTTTCAGAGCCTCAGTCTTCTGCTGTGGGCCACACAAAAGCATTAAACAGGCTGGTCCAGCTTGTTCAACATCTTTGATCTGGCATTTGTATCAGGTGCAACATCATTACTGCTGCAGTTGCTGAAGCAGCGCTCTTGCTCTGCTTTCCCTTCACTGTGCCTTGGAAATGCTCTTCACCTGTAACTGCAGCCAAGTAGAGGCTTCTCTAGTCATTTGTAGAATAAAACTACAAATGACAGAAGGCTTGAAATGTTAGGGAGAGGTTAAGAGAACAAAGGCATGGCTTTCTCTGAACAAGTCAGGAGAGGTTACAAAATGGCCCAGGTCTTGGTTTAATTTTCCTTTGAGGACAGGGTCAGACCGTGCTTCACTCGGAGGCAGAGCCCTCTGCCTTGCCTTTGCGGTTGGCTTTGTCAGTATGGCTGTGTGGCAGGCAGTGCCCTGAATTAGTGAGGTAACCTGTTTTGATGTGGGCTTTTTAACTTGGATGTTTTTCAACCATTTGAATTAGATCACAGGCCATCAAATAGGTGAATTAATTAAGCAAATTGGGTGGAGAGGGAACAAAAAAAGCATTTGGGGATGGGAGGGAGGGCTACTTCTAATCTGGTTCTGCTGGAAAAATCCATGAGTGGAGTTGTACCTTTAGCAAGCAATGGCTAAAAAACTGAAATGGTAGATTTAAAGTAGACTTGGACCAACTTGTGAAGATTGCTTGCTTTGTTTTCTCCTCCAGTCTTTGCTGTGACTAAAGCTATTTATTTTGTTAAATGTATTTTCTCTTTGTGGCTGGCTCTGATTAAAAACCAATTCAGGAGTCTAGCATCCTGGCTTGTGTCAGAAATAACATGGCCAGCAGGACTAGGGCAGTGATCGTCCCCCTGTACTCAGCACTGGTGAGGCCGCACCTCGAATACTGTGTTCAGTTTTGGGCCCTTCACTACAAGAAAGACCTTGAGGTGCTGGAGTGAGTCCAGAGAAGGCAACGAAGGTAGTGAAAGGTCTGGAGCACAAGTCTGAGAGGGAGCGGCTGAGGGAGCTGGGGGTGTTTGGTCTGGAGAAGAGGCCGCTGAGGGAAGACCTGATCGCTCTCTACAACGACCTGAAAGGAGGGTGTAGCCAGGTGGGAGTCGGTCTCTTCTCCCAGGTAACAAGCGATAGGATGAGAGGAAATGGCCTCAGGTTGCACCAGGGGAGGTTTAGATTGGATATTAGGAAGAATTTCTTCACTGAAAGGGTTGTCAAGCATTGGAACAGGCTGCCCAGGGCAGTGGTTGAGTCACCATCCCTGGAGGTATTTAAAAGATGTGTAGACATGGTGCTTAGGGCCATGGTGTAGTGGTGGACTTGGCTAGGTTTACAGTTGAACTCAATGATCTTACAGGTCCTTTCCAACCTAAATGAATCTGATTCTAGAATATCTTCTAGTGAGATGTGATTTAAAATTAAATTCACAGGCATATGCTTTGGTTTTGTTTCCCTGCAACCCCCCAAAAGCAAAGTAGTTCTTAAACAATTGGGTTTGGGTTACAGTGCTGCTCCCCGAGAGCTATGGACTGGAGATGCAGGACTGCTCCCCTGATGGTGAAGCATGGCGTGGAGGCTCCCGCGTGCCTCTGGCCACCTTGCTGTCAGCGTGCTGAATTTCACTGCCCCATTGGTTTTGCTGAGGCAGCTATCCCAGGAACCCTTCTGTAAACTGGATCAGAGAAATAATTCAGCTTAAAATCCTTGCTAATCTTTCTGGAGGCAGTATGGGGAAGGAAAAGTAGGAGGGTGGATGTTTGTAATTTAGTTACAGTGTGGCTCCACCAAAGAATTGTTTTCTCTGAACTGTGAAGGCCTGATGTACTGGCCAGCTGTGATGAGGGAATAAATGGGGGCTGAGAGCAAGGAGCTTTCTTGGATTTGGTTTGATTCAAGAGAGCCTTTTTCTAACTGTTCTTGGCAGAAGAAAAGACAGAGGAGAGTCTGTAAAAACTGGCTTGCATTCTAGAATAGTATCAGACTGAAGTTATAAATGTTAGAATCCTTTGGAAATTTAATGACTAACTTAATGATGTCTGTTAGAGGGAATGGTTAGAAATAGCTGCTAGATGAATTCTTGTGGCAGATGTGCTTAGTAGACTACTCAATCAGAGGGAAATAGGGTGTGCAGTACAATGGAAATATGTTCAGAATGAATCCTCTCCCAACCCAAAATGCAATTTCCTTCAAGATAACAAAAAAGTTTATCTGAGAATGGTTGTTAGCCATGAGATTTGGCTGTGAAATCTTCTCACTTTAGAATGAGATTTGCATGTTTTCTTCTCATTGCACGTTGTATTTGAAGCCCTTTTCCTAAGGCAGTGTATAAAGAGGTAGAACTTCCTTGTGACTAAATTTTCCTTTTGTGTCCATTTCAGATGATCTAATTATTTCAGAAGATGTTGGGGCAAGTATCTTCAATGGGCAGAAGAAGGTGCTGTATTATGCGGATGCCCTGACAGAGATAGCTTTTGTTGTCCCATCACCAGTGGAGTCCCTAAGTAAGATCATTTTGTACATGCCGTTTACAAAACCAAAACAACACTTTTTTTTTGTTGTTAGAGAGCTTTTTTAGAAGCAGGACCTAAATAAGCTAACTAGTAGTGTATCTAGCAAGATCCTTGTCAGAAAGCTACTGATGTTTACATTTTCAACATTTTACGTTTCAACCCTTAGACTTCTTCCTAAGGTGGTGTCTGTTGTGTGCCCCTCTTTCTCAGTCTGAGCCTCAATATATGTCCTGGCTTGCACGGCAGTACTGCTGTTAGCCTGGGCGCATTAGGTTGGACATACGGTTCACCATCAACTGGTGATGCCTGTTGGGTTTGGGTTTTTTCCCCTCTCCTGTGTTGATGACATGCTCCTGCAGCACACGGAGGAGCTTGTGCACAACTGCTATGTAGGTGAGCAACAGCTTTGACGACATCTTCTGCACACTAAAACCAGTGTGCAAAAGTTCCCTGGAATAAAGGACTGTGAGGAAATGATCGCCATATTTCTAAATCCATGGGGAGTGCCTTAATTGCAGTCTGTTTCTGGAATAACTGGCAGTTGTCCACTGCTGAATCCTCTTCCTGCTTTTGAGTGCTATATTTACTTGACTGTAAACCTATGTATATTTAGTTTCAAAAACCTTACAGCCTTTTTTAGTTTCAAAACCTTACATATGATGACAGCTTCAGTTTTTTGGCAGAAGAAAAGACAAAACCCACATTTCTTCTTGTGGCTTACAGCTGATTCACTGGAAAGCAATGTCTCTGACCAAGAAAGCGACTCCAACATGGATCTGCTGCCAGGAATATTGAAGCAGCAGTCTCTGACACTTGAACTCTTCCCCAATCATACAGACAATCTTAATCCCTCCCAACGGGTAAGGCAAAACTTGCATTGAAAAATGGCGTGATTTTTTTTTTCTTTTTTCTCTCTCCAAGAAGCACATTGGCAATGCTACAGCATTTTCTGATAGTATATGATTTGGTTTCCTAGCATTTGGAGCTACTTGTTTCTAGCCGTTAATCTTTAACATCTGCTTTGGTCCTGCCAGAATTTGCATCTGCAGTAGGAGATTGCAAGATTACATTAATTAAATATAAAACTTAAACATGCTAAGTAGTAATACTCTGCATACTGAATTCTTGAAATGCATGCAGGAAAAAGTATATGCAGTATTTACAAAGTAATTCAGACTCAAATCCATGCTTAGAAATTAGGATGGATAGACATGAACAGTTTTCATGCCTACCCAGTTTAAAATAGTATGTGTCAGTTGTGTCTGAAGTATCAGATGTGAAGTTGCTTTTGTATGGTAGCAAAGCAGAAAACCATGAGCTGCTGTAACTGTTAGCAAAGGATTTGCAATTGCTTATTTCTTGTGTTGAATTTACTTCCAAATATATGTTTAGTTACTGATTCAAGATATTTGAGAACATTAAGAAAAACTTGAACTGTTTTTTAAGATTGAATGTATTAATTTATGTTGAATATAAATGTTGTGGAGACCCAGATTACTGTTTCTCAGTGGGTAGTTCCACCGCAGCTGCCCCATCTCAGTCTTTGGCAGAAGTTGTACCTGTCTGAGATCTGAAACACTAAGGAGCAACTGTGGAAATGCTTGTTGGATGCATTACTGAACTCATGATGTTTGCAAATGCTACTCTTCCCTTGTGTTCAAAACAGCTCAGCCCTACTTCCAGATCCAAGAGGGTGCCTCAGGGCCGGACCATTCCGCCAATGGGACCTGAAACCAAAGTGTATGTGGTCTGGGTGGAACGTTATGATGATATAGGTGCGTAATGGTTTTTATTGTTTGCTAAAGTAACAACAGGGCAAGAACCAGAAGAAAAACTCTGTTCCATTCCTCTATAAAATGCTAAGTCCTTATTAATGTCTGTAACCAACACTTCTAAGATTTTTAAAACAGTTCTTTGATATTTGAGTGGTGGTCCATGGGGTGTGGTAGGTGGCATGTAGGTCTGGAGATTATTTTAGCTCTGGCAGTACATATGAAATGCTGTCATGCAACCACCTTCTTAAGCTTAACACACAAAGCAAGTGTGCACCCCTGTTCTTGAGTTCCCCTCAGCTGCTGTCTCCTCAGAGTGGATCTGTTGTTCTTCCTTTAAAAACAAATGACTCCTGACACCTGCTGCTTCTGTGCCGAAGGGATCATCATCCTTCTTGGTTTGATGGTACCTTTGAAACTTTCTGTTCTGCTCTTTCATGTGGGAGGGCTCATTTATTCTGTGCTCGAGGTGCCCATTTTATCCTATGCAGTCCAGCTTCCTTTCTGCACCTTTGTTCACCCAAGGTCTTGTTCCTCATGCAACTTAATGTTTCTTAGTTTGATGTTTCCTCCCTGACTCTGGGTACTGGCTGACCTGGGAGAGACACAGCTTCGCCCATCCTGTCACAGCCGTGGTGTGGACAATGGTGGGCCGCTGGCTGCTGGGTTTGAGGAGCCCTTTGTCCCCCAAGAACTGCTTGCGTGCTGGTTCTAAGCCATGGTCTGGCTTTAGCACTATGTGAGAGCCTCTCTGTAGTGGCCTAGCCCAGCAGAGTCTGTAACACTGACTAGTAACTAATACTTTATTCTGTCTTTGATTTCTAATCCTGGTTCCCAGTCTGGCAGTAAGGGCAGACCTTCATTAAGCCCTTAGCTCCTCCCAGACGAAAGCAACCAAGAGAATGGGAGTGATCTGGAGGAAGCTTCCTGTAAAGTGTAGGTATAAATTCTCAAGACCACCTTGTCCACAGCACATCCCTCAGAACTTTACTGGGATCAGGAAGTGGACATCAAGTTCTGCAGCATCATTTTCTTATCCAGACATGGGCCCAGCGGGTGTTCCCTTAGCTCCAGGAGTCCCTCCACTGTTTCAGTTCCTGAACTAGTGTCCCTGACCCACGTTTTTCTTGAGAGGCAGCTGGAGCCAACTCACTGCAGAGGCAGCAACTGTGCTACACACACATGTTTCTGCTTGGCTACTTCTTTAAGCAGCCATAGGAATCTCCCAGAGCTCTGGGCCTGAAGCTGAAGAAATGAGTTTGTGAGTCTCAGTAAGCATGGCAGTTGGATTGAGGGGAGGGCGGAGGGCAGCTCTTGAAAGTGGCTCCTAGCCCAGAGGCTTTGCCTCACGCTCCTTACAGTCTTGGCTTTTGCCTTTCGCTTCTTGTACATCTTTGAATCTGGATAGTGGAAAAGCTGTCACTTTGTAGTCCAGGCTGTCGCCCCTGTGCCAACTGCCTGCCCTCCCTCTTGCTCCATCTCAAAGTACTTTCGTGGACCTCTATGCTCTCCCTCTGCTAGCTCCAGCTTTTGTGTACTTTTAGCATCCCAGCTCTGATGGCAAAAGGTGGGTTTTGGCCTTGTACTCTTTCTGTTGGAAGAGGCGTCAGCACTGTACCGTCTGAACTGTACTTTTGCGAATGACTCTCAACATCTCTTTCTGTTTCTGCCCCTAAAGAAGGTAATGGGAAATGCCACATCCCCTTCCAGGGAACAGAGTTCTTACTACTTCTTCCTCCTGCACCTCCTTTATACAGTCACTTGTTACCAAGTGCATAGCAGCAGAGTTGTAGGTTATGGTGAGGATCTACAGAGTTTGGATTTGAGGAATGATACTGTGTTTGTTGGAGCAGGGCTCAAGGGACCTGTAGATGTGAGTGGTGGTATTGTTTGAAAACCCCAGCACTGTTCTTGAGGCTGATTGCTTGTGGATAGGTGAAGATGTTGTTGAATAATAATTTGAAAGCTTGTTTTGTGATTGAAGTACTTCACCTCCTTCCTGCTTTCACTGTTCCTCTAGAGATTTTGACCTTTGGGATTGAGAGAATTGAGGGTCTGGGACATGTGTTACCTAATCTGTTGAGCACAGTATGGCTGAGGTGTTTCTGTACACTCCATGAATGCTTAAGCTTAAAAACAAACAAAGACTTTGCATCACTATCAGTGCAAGAACATCCGTGATATAAATGCTTGAGGACTGTATGGTTTTGACTGATGATAAATAATCTTTCTTTGTATAAAACCAAACCAGACACCAAAAACTGGGGTAGATAAACTTTGTTCAGTGCATCTTCTTCTTATAGAAAACTTCCCCCTCCCTGATCTGGTGTCCGAGACGAGCACTGGTGTGGAAACTACAGCCAATAGTAGCACTTCCCTAAGGTAAGACTGCTCTTATTTTCATTATTTTTCTTGATTCTTGCGGACAACAGTTTAGGCTACACTTTAGAGGAAGTCGTGACTGAGATTTGCATTCTTCAGCTTTCACAGACAACCCTGAAAACTCTAGGCGGTCATGTTAAGACAGATGATGTCCTCAGTGGATTTTTTTTTGTTGTTGTTGTTGAAAAAATGAAAGAACTTTTCATATCACTGCAGTTTAAACATAAATTAAGGAACAGAAAATGCGTAGTTTCTGTCTCGAGTCTGTGGTTAGCCTCCCTCTTGATTTACTCCCTTGTGAGGCGGTTAATGCTGCGTATGTGTTGTGAGGCTTAAAGCCCTGTCTGCAGGACTCTCAAATTCTGTGGTGACAGAAGGTCATAGAAACAGTACAGTTGATATAATCCTTCTAAAGTCCAGAGGATGCACACAGGAGTCCCGCTGGTTTAGCCACAAGAGATTTTTAACTTTCTTTTAACACTTAAGTCGTCATTTTCATCTATAGATTAATTGAAACAGTGCTGTAAAATGGATTTAACAGTTGCGGTTTTTCCCTTAAGATCTACCATTCCTGAGAAGGAAGTTCCTGTGATCTTCATCCATCCTTTAAACACTGGCTTATTCAGGATAAAGCTACAAGGAGCAACTGGGAAATTCAATATGGTTATCCCATTGGTGGATGGAATGATAGTCAGTAGGAGAGCTCTTGGTAAGCTAAAGATTTTTAAGAACACTCATGTTTTGTTTTTTTAAATAATAATATACTGCAAAATACATAGTCTGAAATCTTTCATTGGAAAAAGTATTGGACATGACAGAACAAAATAAAAACATGCTTTTTGCAGCAGCAGCAGTAGCAGGAACAGCAGAGGGAGCAGGTGGTCAGCACTTAGCTGACAGCACAGCAGGGTTCCACTGCAATTGTAGTAGGAGAGAAGTGAAGGGTTGGAACTGATGATGGTGGAAGGAAATGCCTGTTATTTAGATAAGAGAGATCAGAAATGTGACCCTAATGTTTAGTATTGAGAACCAAGGTGCTGGTGCTAGTTGCCTGCCAGAAGGTACTGCTGAATTTTTGGACTATGCTGGCATGCTGTGTTTGTTCCTTCTGTTTTAGAAGCCAGATAGTGATCAAAAGTCACAGCAATTGAGGATTTTCTAACATGTTCAGTAGAAGTACTTAACTTACTATGCAGGCATATGTTAACAGGGGTCTGTGTGTGCTATCTGCCTTTTCCTGTGTTCCTGGATGGGTTAACAGATCTGTCTGGGTATCTGTGCTACTGTAGCTTCAGTAACTGGAAACCTCACTCCAGTGAGAGCAATTCACAAGACAGAGCGAAATGAATAAACGAACATTAGGGCACTTGTACATAACCATAAAACTGATGTTGTAGGGGTCTGTTGGGGGTGACTTTCAGGTCCTGGTCTTTGCATGATTAATTCAGTGAAAGGGAAATTGAAGCCAGACTGGGCCTTTAAATAACATTTCTGAATTCAGCTGATGACAATGGCTTGTACTGAAAAAGAATCAGGTGTGTTTTCCTAGAATTGGGCTGGTTTTTCAGCTGCCTCAGGACTATTAATATAATGAAATTTGTCTCGTCTCTAAGTTCAGCAAATGTGGCTTGTGTGCAGTCAGGAATCAAGTCCTCTAAATAAGGACGACACTCCTTCTGCCTGTAAAAAAGTGCTTGTGAAACAGCAGAAGGGTTAATGGACATTTACTTCATTAGAGACATATGAATTTCATTTCAGAATAAAATAGGATAAAGTTCACTGCCATATTTGACCAAATGTTACTGCTTTGGTTCCCAACCTTCTCCTCCCTGCCACGTACAGCTGTATGAGTTAGAGGGGTAGCAACAGTGGCAAAGCAACGAGGGGAAGAGAAACCTGTTCCCAGCCACAACCCATCAAGTCTTTCCTCATCCCCTGTTCCAAGGGGAAGGCTCTGCAATTCCTACTGGAAAAAAGTACTGAAGGGTACTTTTTTTTCATCCTGAAAACTCCCCTGGCATTACCCGGTGGGACCTCAGGGCCCACCTCAGCTCTGCATGTCCTCATGCAGCATGGCTGGGGCTGTAGCACTGCGATTCTTGTGTTGGCTGCCCTGGATTCTTTCCCCTCTTGGTCCCAAGGGTGCTGTTGCGGGCAGTTGCTTGGCTCTGGCAAAGCAGACAAATCTTCCTCCTCCTCCTCCAGCCAGTTTAGAGTACAACTTACTTAGTCCCTTTCTTACTCATTTTTCACAGTAAAATGTCCTTATAGGCCTGGGGACCATGCTTATCTGTTATCAGCTACTCATTGAGAAAAGTTCTTGACTTGGCAGTGCTGAGCATCTCCCCTGGGTTTCTCGATGGGACAGAACCCAAGATTGTCTTTAGTGGAAAAGCCAGCAAAGGGGCACAGACTTGAATTTGTTCAGACTTGATTCAAATGTTGTTTCTTTTTCAGGTTTTTTAGTGAGGCAGACGGTAATAAATATTTCTCGGAGAAAGAGGCTGGAAAGTGATTCATACAACCCCCCACATGTCCGCCGAAAACAGAAAATAGCAGACATTGTCAATAAATACCGGAACAGGCAGCTGGAGCCAGAATTTTATACCTCGCTTTTCCAGGAGGTTGGGCTCAAGAACTGCAACCCCTAGGTCATTATCCTTCCAGGACAATTAGATCAGAGCTTGGTGGCTACAGTAATGAAAACAGTTAAATAACCACAACAAATTTCCTCAGCCCTCCAGAATTCAGGAAATCATATTCTAGCACAAGTCAGCAGATACCATGTGGGAGGAATGAGAAATGAATCCAAAACATTGCAGTTGGGATATTGACTTAATTCACCTACCCACAAAAGATTACTTAATTCCGGTCTTCCTGGATGCTAGCAGCATAATCTCTTCACCCAATCATCTATTCCAGACTAATTAGGAACTGCCAGTGTCTCATTCTGTGAGAGGAAAACAATCAAAACAAAGCCATCTCTGCATATATGGAAAACAAAATACAAACAAACCTGCCTTCAGACATCTCGCTACACAGACGTGTAACAGGAGAAGGGAGCAGGATCTCTCCTTTGAGGAGAGAGACTGTTTCAGAGCAGTTACTCTCCCTGCAAGAACTTAAAAGACACTTTCAGCCCCCGTTCAGAGCTCAACAGAAGATCCTTCACTGCTTGTAACCAATTTGTGTACCAAAAGCAAGAGGAGGAAATTGCCTGGAAACATCAGGTCATGAAATTCATAGCCCAGATGCTGTGTTTTACAGTTCCCTCCGTGGCTGGGAGTGAGTCCATCTACATACGAGATTTCTGTAGTGCTGACAACAAACACCACCTGAAATTACCTGACTTTCCAACATAAGTTGTTACTAGATAAAAGCTCTTGGTTATGTAAAAACAAGGTTATGATTTTCAGGTCTGTTGCAAAATGTCACACTTCATTTTAGTAGCTTGATTTTTTTTTAAAATTTTTTTATGCAACTGCTTAATTTATTTTGAAGTGTCTGTATCACCTACTCACCATTTCCATAAAAAGCATAAACATCACTTGCTTTCCTTCCATTGGATTGAAATCTGAGATTCTGGGGCTGCCTCCTGCCTGATATTTATAGCTTAAGCAGTTTTCACAGCTTCTACAACACTTTTCAGAAGCTCCTGTTAAACAGACTAAAACAACTCGAAAAGAGAATTCAAGAATTCTTCTTTTCCCCCATTAACTTGCAATTCCATGAAAGCCCCTTTGCAGTTAAAACTTAAAATTGTTTTGAATCTACTATGCTTTCTCATGCTCGGCAGCGGTGGTTCCCTTTCACCTAGGTCAGAAGTTTTCATTTTCCGACTATGAATTTCACATGTTCAGGACTTGAAGGGTGTGCTAAGAAAAGATGTTTACAACTATAGATTTAATGTTGGGAATATAAAAGCTGCAGTGGGCGCTGGCAGCCTTGGGAGCGCTCTCAGGCTCCCAGTGCAATCTTCACTTGTGTTGCAGTAATGAATCATCACTCACGCTCCTGGGCAGATGTGGTTTGTGATCGCTGGTGGCAGCACGTGTCCTTTTCCTCCCAGTGAGCAGGTGATGTACGAGTGTGAGCAGGAATTTGGGGAGCTCCTCACGTTATTCCAAAAGTGGTTTTATTAGCTTTTTAATATGCATTGTAGTAATACCTGTCAGTCACTTTGATATTTCAGAGTTACTTTTTGCAACAGTTCTGACCTGAAACAGTCGTAATTGTTTCATTACAGCTTATCTGCCAAGGACATACCCTGCTCCTGTCTTTTCATGTGGTTTTTCACAAAGAGTTAGTGGAAACACAGATCCCTAAAAATACACGTGAAAGGACTTTCATGGTGTCAACCAAAGGCATTTTAGGTGACACGTGCTTGTTGCAGGGGACAAACCTCTCAACTCAGGAGCTCTGGATTTTGATCCAGATGAATCACAAGCGGAAAAATGAAACCACACAAAGAAAACTACTGTAGAAGTAAGGATGGTGGCTGGCCCACGCTTGCGTGATGCCTGGGTTGCAAATGGCAGGAGGTGCTGCAAGGCAGCGTTTGGGTGTATTGGCAAAGCTGTGAAGGGAAACTTGGACAGCTTCATTCCTCTGCCAAACTCTTGCCAGTATCAATTTAATGCACGGACACTAAATTTACCCACATTTTGTATGTACCTATTGGATCTAATTAATGGCCAAACACACTTTAGTCCACTGATTTAAAAGGCATGACCAATGCATGTGTAACAAATAAACATACTGAGCAATCAAATGTCTGCACATCTTCAATAACGTAACAACAAAACCCACATACCATAGCTAAGTGTGTGTTATATACGAAGTCATTGGTTTCTATAGTAATGAGCTGCAAAAGATACTTCTTTCAGGCATTCGAGTACAGTTGGTAACATAAAGGCGTGTACATTTGGGGAAACCCTGGATATTTTCCACAAAGGCCAAGATAGCCAAATGGAGTGCCTGAAAATTTACTTTCTAAAAAGGCCTGTGCTTGGCTGAAGAATAGCCTTGGGTCTATTTCCATGTTCGCGTAAAACATGGGTACGGCACCCACTTGAGCAGTAACAGCCGTGAAAGCAATACAACTTTTCAGAAGTCTTGAAAGAAGGTAACTTTTGCACTCAGTGTTGCTGCTGATCCCACCGCCGGGGGAGCAGGCGTTTATAACGCGCTTCATTTGGTTTGTAAAACCGGCTGGTTAACACGTTACACGCTAGTGGTATGACCTGGCCATAAGTTGTTGGGATTTGCGATCTGGAAAGGTGAACCTTCAAGAAAGTTGCAGTTTAGTATAAAAATGTTGCAATTACAGAAATGTGTTGCCGTCCCACTTGGTTTGGATGCCGGTCGCAGCAGTGAGCACCCTTGGCAGACCTGTGCCAGTGGTAGGTGTCTGCAAGGAGTGTCCCTCCTTCCCCTGTGCACGGAGGGGTCTCCGTCTTCATAATAAAATGAAAAACACCAATTTGGGAATGAAATCCTTGTCCTGTCAAAGTCAGTGGGCAAACTCCGATGGCTTCAGCTAGTCCAAGGTACAGCCTTGAGCTTTTTTCTCCAAAAGGGTTAGAGAAAATTAGATTTATTTTAGTTCCAGTTGCAAGAACCTATTAGTCAAGAATCCAGACTTTTTTGATCATAAACTGCTGTATTGAGTTTTCAGCTTGACAACTTGCGTGGCTTGGGTTTGCGTTCCTGTTCATTGGAGGTGACGAGCATTGACCACTTGTTCTGCGCGTAGCATGACGTTAGTCTAGACACCGCAGGTAACGTAGTGCTGCAAAAGCTGAGTTGCACATGTTTCATAACTGAACTGAGACTTTCTCTTTTCATAAGACCTTTCTGTTTGGGTTCATCATTCTGCTTTAAATGATGGCATCCTTTTAAAGGTGCAGAAAGAGGGGGAACCATTGTCACCTTGTTAAAGACCATGTTGAAATTACAGAAATTTTAGTACCTTAATAAAGACTCTCTTTTAAAGAAAAACCTTTTTCTTAAAGGTAGTTTTAAAAAAGGTATTACAACCTTACAGCAAACAGGAGAGGGGAAGGACAGTGCCTGTGGAAATCCAGGTGTCTCTGGATAGCAGCGTGTGCACGGGGCCATAGGGAAGAGCAGCCCCTCGCTGCTCGACTGGCTCTATGTGCTGGGTTCTCCATAGGTGACTGCATTTCTTTTCTGCGAGGTTCTGCATGCCCAGAAAGACGAGAACTAAATTTCAATCTAACAGACAAATTTGATGTGATTTAATGATTGTGTAATCGAGTGATATCTTTGAAGGCAAACACAGACCTCTTCCACAAGGATTTTAGCAGGAGCAATTAAAAATAAGAATGCCAGATACATGTGCTTCAAATCATATACAATTTGTATGAATTTCTGTATGTTGCCAAGACATGATCTTTTTGTTCTTATTGTATTTTTCTGTAAATATTCCTGGCGCTAAGTTGTAAAGTAAAGGCAAAATGTAAATATGAAGATGTGAACTATGTTCCCTTGTCTCTAGTACTTTATCTCTTATTTGTTTAGGAAAGGCACACAAAGGCTTGTTTGTATTTATGCCAATTCTTTGTCCGGGAGAAACACATCAAATATTGAATGTAACACAATTAGTCCAATAAATTTTAAAGATTCTTATCTAGTAACTTTGCAATTGTCACTTTTTAGTATTTTTCCAGTGCCTTCAGTTGAAATTACCAGCCAATAGAGATGTTTCCCAGGGAAACAGCAGACGGATGTAGTAAAATTGCGCACCCTCTGCTACGCAGCCGCTATGGTAACAGTGCACCAGCTTATATTTAAGGAAATCACGTTGCATCTTGAGGGTGTGGGGAATGAAAACATGGAAACACAGCTTTTAAAGGGAGACCCGATGCTGCCGCAATGCAAATGTTCTCTGGTTGCTCAATGTGATGCTTCCTATCTGAGGCGTAGGTCGCCTCGCTGTGCAGCGGGACTGGGGAAGCCACCATAAAGCCGGGCGGAGTCCTGCGAGTGTTAGAGACGGCTCTTACTGCTGCGCAGACTGAGGATGAAGAATTTGACTTCTCGCTTGTTTGGGTTTGGAGATGAGCTGGGCAGGAGCGTCTTGTGTCCGGTGCAGCCGGTGGGCTCTGGGGAAGGAGGAAAGCTTCAGGAAAGCCGTGGTGGAGGCTGGGTTTGTCAGTGCCCCTCTAGTGTCCGACCGACGAGTCAAACCACCCGTTGACCATCTCTAAGCTCCCCAGGGAGGTGACAAGCCGTCACTGTGGGTTCCCTGGGTCAGGGCTGCGGTGTTGGGGCTGGCAGGACCCTGTCTGTGTGTCTCGGTGCTTTACTGCTGAGGCACCAGGTGGGGGTTACCTGGTCGTGACCTTGCGTTGTCGGTGGCACTTCACCGTCACAGTAGCTCTTAACAGGAGATGCTGTCTTGGGGATGTTAGCCTTTTGTGAGCTGTCCACATGTCAACTTACCTGAGGGCTGGAACAAAAACACTGAACTGACCGTTCCAGAAGCTTCAAAAGAGGGCAAGGTGAATGTTGATTTTTCCTGCCCGCTCCCTCTCCGAATCCCCCTCTGCAGTCCCAAAGCGTAGGGCCGGTAGCAGAGAGGGCTTTCTGGGCTTGGTTTCAGAGGTGTGACGCTTTCTCCTTCCCTACAAAGAAAGCAAAAGGCAGCGGGTAGGGTGGTCCATCACGGTCCCAGGGGATGGGGAAACCTTGGCTGCCGTGGCCACGTGTCCTGCCCACTGCTGCGGGCTTCTTCCCATTGCTTTCCTGGAGACTTTTCCCCAGTTTTCATTTTGCAGAGCACAGTTGCAGGCCATGCTTCAGCCATGCAGGGAGCTACTCTTCAGCCGAGGTCTGCTCCTCCTCAAAAATCCTTTCCTTTGCTGCAGTTCTTGTAATGCAGGTTTGCGGCCCAAAGTGGAGAAACTCTTTGGCCCTGAATAAATGAACTTGTGTTTGGCTGCACTGAGGTGTAGGTAGCCTGGCACAGGTCACCCAACGGCCCAAATCCCTCCTGCCATGCGCTGCACCTGGGATGCCACGGACTCATCCTGCACCAACACTTGTTACCCCAAGCTACTGCCAGCCTCCCTCTTTTTTTCCCCCGAATTTTATTGATAAATCTGCTGATAGCCTTGGGCTGGGCGTTAGGTGCATCTCCTCGCCCTGGGCTGTGCCGGCGAGCGTGGGGATGACCGTGGCTTTGGAGCCTGACCCTGAGTATCAGCTGCCTCCGAGCCCTCCAGCTGGGAGCTGCCCCCAGGGCTGCCGGCCCGGCTGCTGGCAGGAGCGGGGTGGCCCCCCCAGTTCCTTGGCCCCATCCCACAGCAGCCCCAAGGGATGGCTTGGGGTTCCCCGGGGGGGGAAGCTCCCGGCAGGAAGAGGGGCTGGGTCGGGGGGCTTGGGATACCCTCCCAGCCCAGGGCCCTGCACAGGAGGGGTGTTGGGGAGGGCTCGGCCACTGCTGACCTTGTTTTGGGAGACTGGAAAGCTCACTTAAGGGCCTCGGGTTGAAAGGGCCTTTTCATCAGCAGAGCCCGTGTAAACGGGCGGTGTTTTGTGTGCAGGGCTGTGTGGGTGTGCAGTGGGGACCAGACTTCAGCTCCAAGCGAGCCCAGGATCTCGAAGGCAAATCGAGCGATTGTTCCGCTGCCCAGCCTGCTCCGGCAGGAGAGCCTGGCTGGGA